AAAATTACAGAAGGTGATGAGAAATGGGAGAAAACCTCAAGAAAAAAAATTTGGATTTCTTATAAAATTCATGGAAGATAATCGTGAAGAGTGCGACTCTAGAACTGCTAATAAGAAAACTCAATCTGTTAGATGTCATGAGTGTTAGGATTACGGTTACTATAGGAATGAATATCCTAACTTGAAAATGAGTTCTAATAGTGGCAGACGTAAGGCTTCAACTGTGACCTTAAGTGATGATGAATCAGATTCTAGTGCTCAGAGTGATACATCTGGTGAAGAAAATAATCAAAGGCTCATGGTCTTCGTATCTATACCTACCATAGAATCTGATAAAGAAATTGAGGTGGTTTTGGTTAAGAAGATTGATGTATCTAGGTCAAATGAGCAGGTGAACTGTTATGTTTCCCACGTCATACTTACGGCCCAAAATATCTCTATGTGGTACTTTGATAGTGATTGTTCTAAACATGTGTGTGGAGACAATGCCTTGTTATCTTCTCTAGTTGAGTGGAATGACGTGTAGTTACTTTTGGAGATGGAGCTACTGCACCAATTCAAGGAAAATGTATTGTTAAAATTGCTGGACTACCTACCATATCTGATGTACTTTATGTGAAAGGGTTAAAGTCAAATTTGTTGAGCATCAGTCAAATTTGTGATGCTGATTTTGAGGTTAGCTTTGTCTAAAAAAGGTGCACTGTGTATGACTCAGCTGGTAACGTTGTTCTCGAAGGTGTAAGAATCTTTGATAATTGTTACAGATTTTTCTCGATATATGTGGATTGAACTACTGAGGGATAAAATTGAAGTGTTCGGTCTTATCATCTCATTGTGCAAGAGACTTAGAAATGATAAATGATATTCTGTTTCCAAAATTCACAGTGATCATGGAAAAGAGTTTGAACACTCGAATCTTGAGAACTTCTGTTTGGAGGAAGGAATTCAGCATGATTTCTCATCACCGATCACTCCACAACAGAATGAGGTAGTTGAAATAAAAAATCGTGTGCTTCAAGAAATGGCAAGAGCTACGCTTCATGGCAAGAAGCCATCAACACAGATTGTCGCATTGCTAACGGAGTTTATCTAATACCTAAAACGGATATGACACCATATGAGATCTAGAAAGGTAAATGTAGCTATGTCAACATGTGTGCTTGGTACATTCATGTTGTTAATTTTAATAAATAAAAAGGAGGGAACTACAAAGTTTTTATGCATGAAATTATTTTACAGCATGATATTTAATTCACTCGATTTTGTTGATCGTAATCAAGCATGAGTTTATTTAGT